CGCACCGCTGAGGAGTCCCACAAAAGGACGAAATGGCCGTCCAGTGCTTTCAGGTTTTCCTTAGTGGTCTAGCTTCAATTGACTCACGCTTTCAGCTATGAAAAACATAACTGTTTATGGTCATACGATTGTTACTTGATGAAATCGAGGTTTTTATCACAATATTCACTAAGGAAAATTATTTTCTAGTCAGAAGTTAACAAATTAATTTATGAAGTGAGGTAATAATTCATTTAAAATGAAAGTTATTTAGAAGAGAAATTATATCCAGTTAGATTGTATATATGAAATTGATATCGTTTTTCGCCTTACTTTTAGTTCAGTAATTCTAAAACTAAACAATAAGTAACCGAAACCAATAAATGACTTTTCATATTTATATCATAATCTGAATAGTTTAGTTTGATTTACATTGAATTAGATGATATAATGTTAGATGTTCACCTTTTCTACCTACGACAAAGAGAAAGGATAACTTATTCTAACTTAAACAGAGATTAATAAACGTTTTGTAATAGCTTAGAGTAGCTAGCTAATGGTACTTAAATTAAATTTAAACAATCAATCAGCTGCAACTTTACAAATATTTGATTCAATGTTTGATCCCCTACAAGATGAACATTACTGAGTTTGAAATAAGTTTTCAACACAAACCGAAATTAGGTTGGGAATAACTAGAAACCTTGTATATTTATAATCATTTAATGCTCACGCCAGTCATTAGCTGTCAGATGAACCAAGAAAGTTCTTGTGATTGCTATAACCTTTCGATGTTAATTAACAATTCAGGTTTAACCGTTAAAAATCGACTGGTTGACATTTCTAATGCATAACAGCTTAAAAATTAATTCAACTTATACTTTGGTATCTCGTTAATAGGTAATTTTTCAATATTGATGACAGAGACCTCGAAATTCGTAGTTGATTATTGAAGCGTCTTCACTAATAGTTGATAGTTCTATAGATGACATCATTTTGCTGTAGAAATCAAATTCAAATAACCTCTAAATAAGACTCTTCGAATCAACCTCGTGTAATGACCATTACGATTAACCTATTAAGATAAATGAAGCTGTGAGGAAAACGGACTCCCTATTAAGTTCAAACTTGAAACTCAGGTTATATACTACTACTGAACAGTGAATGATTTCCCATTGCCAAGTTTTAACCGATACATTATTGAGTGAAATAGATTTAGTTAGTGTTATAACATCAGACAAACATGTGATTGATATTTTATTTCCAGATAGGAAGAACCTAAACATGTTCTTAGAATCGAGCCTAGACGGCATTTTTTTACTTTATGGTTGTTTAAATCTACTTCCATAGTCGAATCTTTTACATATTTATTTATATATATTACGTTTCAACCAAATGAGTCAAAGAAAACGTGTTTCGCTAATGCTGTATACATTTTCTAATATATATTTAAGAGATTAGGCTAATCACTATAACAACTTTCATTTCGATGTTATACAAAGAAGTGTGATGTATAAAGTGAATGGTTTTAATTCAAACAGACTAATTATTAAGTTTACATTTAAAATTATCGTTTAACAATGTACCTTTTCAACGTCTTTAGTCCTACATTAGTTTTATAGGAAGTCCTCATCTTTAAAAGGTTTCAATGGTTTTGTTTCTGGTATAATAATCAATGTCTTTAAAATTCAAATGTAGAACAATTTGTAAACAGTTGGTTACGAGAAATATAATTCTGCGTAGGAAATTTAAATTTTGATTATACTTTTAACTTTTCATAACACTGACTTCTTAATAACTCATCAGTAATTCCATTCATTTGTTATTAAATATGGTTCATAAATCTATAATGACCTTTACTATCATTTAAACACTTTTAATGAATTTTATCCACTTGTTCACTCATTCTGGTCGTCATCTATTTGATTTTCTTGAGTAATCTATATTTTATATCTATTCGAATGCTAGGTTTCGGAGTCATATGGATGTTTTTCTCATGAATGTTAATATGAGCTGAAGAAAAAATAAGGAAACTCTTGAACCATATTCTAATTCTATTTTCATTTTACGGTTATGGTCGTCGATAATAACTTAAAACCTAATACAACAAAACATATTTTATGCAGTATGATCATTCAAATCCCAGATCTGTTGAAGGCTAGGTAACTAAGAGTGTATTAATCAGCTTTTGTTTTCCAATCTTTTGATCTTGACTAGACATGTAATGGCTTCTCATAAATAAAAGCTTTCAGTAATGTTCGTCGTATTATTGAATGACAACAAATAAGTTTCTAATGGTAAATACTGAAAAATAGTCAGTTTGCTCTGATGACTATGTACTGAGCACTGAACATCACGAAACGTTAAAAACCATAAGATAACTGTTTAATAAGATGCATATTCGAAATCGAACGTTTCAAAGTCATTTTATGTAGTGTTTTCTAACTTTTTCGTCTTTTTTTCGATCTATGTAAATCTAACTTTCTCCGTAATTAACAAAACTTTGATGAAATTCCAATGATAATAATAATGTTAATAAATTTTTCCTCTTTCATTCAAATCATAGTAAACAGTAAATAAAATTGTAACTTTTAACAATCAGTACTTCTTTAAGAATTTTAGCCAAGACTAAAAAAATGGAACAATTACGAATAAAACAAAACTCTCGATGTGTACCAGTGTACTGTAATTCATCTATCGTTCAGTGTTTACTATCGTAATAACCAAATGTAGAATGTTGCTTCTTAGTAGTTACATAATGTTTTATGTGTTGTGGATTTCAAAATTTTGCTACATTAGAAAAAAACTAATGGATAATTATATTAATTAGCACAAATTTCGGCTAATGATGTTCGTCAGTTATAGTCATTCATTCTATTGAACTGAGATGACTAGTAACAGATTGTACTGTAAAGAAATAAATGACATAGAATTTCTATATATATACATATATACTTTATCTAAAATACATAGTTTTATCAGATTGTTTGCTACAAAAACTAATAATCTAACTCAGATAGTGTTCTAATGTAACACTGGGTATTTCTTCATTATTCAAATAAGAAGACATGGAAATAAAACATAGTTCTGTAGACTTTAAATTTGTAGAATCCTATATTTCTCCAGTGTTTTGTAATACGACAACAGTATATAAGAATGTAATGAACTATTATTAGCACAAACTTTGTGCTATTCATTTCGCTCAGACGAATGACACGAGCCTCACGACCAAGCCAACCAGCTCAAAGAACAAAACTCCACCAAAATCAACTATCTGAGCAACACATCTTCTTCACCATCTCATGGTCTTCTATAACAATACAAAATTTTTGGTTATTTATATAGCAGTAATCATATGTACTCACTTATTCTGAGACTAAGATAAATATTTCGTCAGACATGTTTGTTCAGATATCGTCAGGCAAACATTATCGTAGATAGATTAAGATAGTGCTCCAACTGTTGAATTGTAAGGAAAGGATGGATTTCAAATAGTAGACACTTATGAGTAAAAATGGACAGGGAACTGGCTCTAGTTGCACAAAATCAACTAAAATTGTCGGAAAAAACTTTCCTATTTTATTTTAACTATGGTACTGTTATTTCAAATGATCGATTCCTAACAATTTTTCACCAAACATTGAAAAATCATAAAAGCTTAATTATATTCAAAAATTGTTGTACCTTTGGAAGAAAACATGTGGTTAAAGTTTTAAGATAAAACACTAATGTTAACTTTGAATGTTATTATTTGAATTTGTCAGGTTTGAAATCTGATTTCCTTACTTTGAATAAAACAAAGATCCAGATTGTGTGATGTTATCGAAGTACAAATAATTTCGACGTTTTGAAACATCATAAAACTTATATTGACCTTTGTTTAACTTCCCAAACAACATTCCTACCAAGAATATATAGATCCCACCGGAATGAACTTTAAAATATTTGACATCTCTTTTAAAGTTCATTATTGATAGAACTTTAGAAAAATTACCTACTCTTAAACCTCACAGATTTTCGGAATGATGCAACATGTATTATACAAATGAAATAATGTAGCCTATATATATATGATCGAAACAAATCAGTATTCCAGTATCACCAGTGGAAAAACTTCTTGATATCGAAGCAAATAAGAATGTAAATTTCTTAGGGTAATATACCACTAAAATATAGGTTAAAAAAATCTCAAATAAAATCAAAATAGCTGACTCTGAATAATTTTCTGGTTAGCGTTTTTTTAGCGAGTTGGTTTTCTACGGGATGGGGTCGCTAACCCCATGCCCAACTGTTAGGTCGGCTTACAATAAACTCTATCAGAGCCTCCAGAGAGGCTCATAAAGAGCCCAACCAATCAGCGATTAGTTAGAAGCTATGCTACTAAAATAATGAGGTCCTGATTGGCTGTTAAACATACTGCTACTATGGAATCTCAAGGTCTTTTTAATTACTATAAAACCCCTGTTTTTTCTGTACATGAATGAACCTTGTTGTAAAGTGTTTCTCTGATACTCGTGTCTTCTCTCTGGTCTTTCAAGTCGCAGAGTAGTGCTAGCCTGGGGTTATCCGAATAGCTAGGATCCGAATAAAGCATTCAACCTACAAGTCATAACACCAACCCTCCTCCTTTACCCGGGCTTCGGACCGGCAGTAGCCTCCGGAGGAGCTACAGACGGCCTATGCTCTATTGGAAGTAACAGGCGTAAGTAAGTAAGTAAGCTGACTCTGAAACCACTGGATAATTGCTACTGTACAAATTAATTACCATTTCATTCATCGGTTTCAATCAGAAGAACCGGTTGTAAAAATAAATTAGCATCACACTCTTATGTTAAATCTTATCAGTAATGACTTTTAACTTCCGAATCATAAATCTTTGTCAACAAAACTAATATTATATGAAACAGTTTTTTTTATATTGTCATTTTAATCATAAGTACTAGTTTCCTTGAATTCATATCTGAGTATTCCTAATACGCATATTGAGCCTTATAATCGACTTTTCTCATTGTTTTCTTTAGTGAAATTGAAAGTTTTCATTGAATGTCGTCGTGACTGTTCAACTAAATGTAATCATAGTCTATTTGTTTATCTGGCTAATGAAGTAAGTAATATTTATAATATTTGGAATCAATATATTGATTTATTGGGTAATATAACTACTGTCCTTTATAGAATTTTTCTACAACTTCAATGTTAACTATTCACTGGTGATGTATGCATTTCCAATTCTAATACATCTGCTTATAAATGTACCACTATTATTCAATCAATTACATTGGGAAAAATTACACAACATATCACTTGAAAAAATTTTTTAAAAAATTGTGAACAAAGAAACCGAAAACAAAATGAAATTCCACCTTTCTTTTATTACTTCAGTATAATTAAAAAAGATATTTGATGTTTTCTCACGAAAATGAATTAAAATGTAACTAATAAAATGTAGTCATTTCTTCTTTTAACGTACATGTAAATTTGTAGTTATACGTAGAATGTAAATGTTTTTTTATGTTGTATTTACTAACGTGTAAAACAATTTACATCGTGTGTACTACTAGTCTTAGAGTGAATCACATTCACTATCCCCTTAATTTTATTCCAGTATTCTGCATAAATAACTATTTCATAGTTGGAAATATTTATGGTCATAAACTTTGTACTGAATGAATAGTTTGAAAGTGTTTTACCAGCAGAAGACAGACACGATTCTACCACTTGTCCACATAGATAAAGTGAGTATTTACAGAAACAACTTCAATGTTCAGACTAATACTTATTAGACAGAGATAGTGGAAAAAACTTGTAGCTCAAGTGGATGATGTTCGTAGAGTATTTTTCTCTGAACTAGATGATTTAATCGTGAAGTTTTCATAACTTTTCTGAATAACATCGTCAAAACAGATTTCAGATAGAAGTGGGGTATTCGGATCTCTCCTCATGTTACCAACTACTACTACCCATTTCATCCTATCACATTTCTAAAAAAACTTTGGTATTATTTACTTTCACCAACAAAATTATATTTATGTGTGGGAAATAAGATAGTAAAAATTTCTTAAATCATACCGCGAATAAGCTGTTGATTTGGTTTACAAAAATAAAATATTGTTGTTGTATTGTGTTTATTGTCTTGATATTTTTTCACATTTGGAATTTCCAGATTTTTAAAAATAAAATGGATCGTTGTTTTAAGTAATGATCACCAAATCTGTTGACTGGTTTCTTAATGTCAGGAAATAAGTTTTTTGCTAGTAAGGTTTATTAACACTGAAACTAGTGCTTTAAAAGCTCCTGTCTATCTGTGTCCAACGTGTTGACCATTTGTCTTCGTTCGATCCATCAACATCGACCGACTAGTCAATCGAAATAGTACAACCTCTGACTGCCAGAATATTAGCTCTCCTGGTGTTGGGACGGGGTGGAGTAGTTACAAATCGTGTACCATATGTTTGGTACTTATAGGAAAGTACAACATGATCACTATTCACTAGTGGAGGAAGGTGCTAAATGTCGACAACATCTTCACAGTTGTGTGTGAGGACAAGGTCTAGCAATGATGGGTCATGTTCCAAGTCAATATTTGTCGGTTTTACGATACATTGTACAAGTGCACATTGAATAATTGTTGATAATAGGTCAATGTCGAAACTCCCATCTGAAGTTGTGAGCTCTATCCTGTTGATCTACGGTGCGTTGAAGTCTCCAATGATGAGACAACATTCTGCCTTACTCCAAGAACAGATGTTACTTAGAAAGTCGTCAGAAAGACAACACGGACTACGATATATTCCTCCTATAGTCACTAACCCGTTTCTAGACCTAATTGTACAACATTCTCACATGTACCACTAACATGCGCCTCCGATATGATCGATTGTATGCGAAAGTTATTCCTAACATATTCCTAACATATAACACTATACCTCCTCCCTTGGGACTTATAACTTTTTCACTTCTAATACAGATGTAGCCTGCAGTGATGGGAGAACAGTTTATATCTACGGTGAGCCAACTTTCTTTGACAACAGTTATATCGAAACTTAATTCATACACCTTCAAACTTAGCTCGGACCTTTTATTTGAAGACTATGGGCATTCGTGTAGCGCACATTTAAGGTGTTTTAAGAATATTAAGTTTTATCCATACAGGTTGCGGAAGCATTGGCTTCCAAGACCTGACTACCCTAAAACCCTTAATCATAAGGTTCGTTTCGCTATTTAACTTTCCAGTTCTTAACTTCGTAAGAGTATTCTTCCACTTGATTCGATCCTCAAGCGGCCGATATCGTCGAATACGAATATTTGAATCACGAGTTTTGTGTGAGTTATTTAATACTACTTTCTTTCTTCGAAATTCCCGAGTACTAACTTCAATATCCTTCTTTGTTGGGTCTCGCCTCCAACCCATTTACCAAGTCTTATTATTTTAGTGATAAGTACCCCTGAAACCTCACCAGGCAGTACATTCCTGAGGACAGTTTCCGCTAACTGTAGATCGCGTGCTTGTCTTTTAGTAGGGTCATTGTCTTTCGACTCTTCTAGATTCCAAATAATTAAAATAGGAACGTGCTTACCTTTATACAAGTCATGTTCACGGCTTTGGACCGTGATGTCAGATTCTGCCTGTTAACTGCTGGTATCTTACTGTTAGCTTTCCTTGTAACAGTGTCGTGTGAGTCGAGCAAATGACTAACGACAATGTTTGATGAGGTCAAACTTTCCCCATCTACGATAGGGATAAATATTGCCTTACTTCCGGACTTTGGTGGAGTAATCAGGGAGGATAATTCATACGTATGTTGAATGCATGTATCCGGGTGAATAACTAAGCGAGAACTAAAACATTCATTATATCTGTATGTTATTTGCTTCATTCTTACATTCGTTGTAAAAATAAACTAAACGTATTATACGTTTCTTACTGCTGATTCACATTTTTCATGCTCCATTCAATTCTTCTTACATCATCATTATTTATGGCGGTAAATAGTTGTCCTAAACTTTCTTTGACTTTAAGAAAACGACAGATTTTAATGGTTTAGCTGCTTATGTGTACTCTTTACATTTCCTGAACGCCTTAGTGAAAAAAGCTGGAATATACTCTCTTGCTTCTTAATTACAAAACATTTTACAAAAACAAAGAACCATATATTTTGTCAGGTAATCTTTCTTCCTATATGATGTCAATCATCGAAAATTCCCAATTTTTACTGGAAACGTTTTATGTATTCTACAGAAAATAATCTTGTAAATCTTATCTCTATTTTACACACAATATAATATCAAGTAATCACTTAAAAAGTGTCTGCTATTTTCAGTACTTTCACTTCAAGCTCAATGTTCTAAGTGAAATACAATGACTTTGTTGAAAGAATGAAAATCTTGAATATTTGCTTATAGATATGAATTAGATTGCTAGATCATAGTACATGAAGTTTTGACCATAAACATAAATAAAAGTTTGATTTCAATGTAAACCGCTTAGGTTTCGTGCTAACATTCACAATTTTCATCTGGCGTACCAGTGGAGGGTAGGGGGTCACCATGAGTGTGTTAAGGATATGTACTTCTTATTATTTTCCGTAAACCTTCTTTACCGAAATATGTATTAATGAAGCCTAATTATGTACTCAAAATAGTCCTTGACATTTAATTGACACATGCAACTACATTAACATGAATTTCCCTAAACTAATAAATTATAATATTGTTTTTTTACACTAATTACTTGTTTGATTTTTTTTTACTCATAGAATGAATGTTACAGTTGTTTAATTGAGTGTATGTCTGCCTTTACACAACAGGCAGAGAAAGTTGGAGTAAGTCAACATTTTTCAGAATTATTAGTAACTATTTAAAACACATAGGTAGTTAAGATCATTATTCGTATTTCCCAATCTTAATCTGATCCTATCGAACAGATGGGCTATTTAGTAACTAAGCTGAGTAGTTATACACTGAACTAACCTTTTGATATGATGAAGTATGAAATAAATGTATAGTAAGGCAGTAATTCCATAAGAGAGTAAATAGCTTATAGCAATTCAACAACTAAAATCAGCTCACTTATCAAATCCCTCTCCTTGTAGCTTCAGTGTTAAAAAGATTGATGCCGTTGGTGCGAACCTAAATGCTCAGATTTCATGTTGGACAGTAAGCATTAGTAGAATTATAGAAAACCCTGAATAAAATAATTTCATCTCCGAAATTCAAACTTAGTTCACTAGCCAGAAGTATTCCTAATGAGCAATTCAAACAGTAAATAACCAGCGATATGAAAGTACGTATTGGGCATTTAACCTAGGGTCAATGATTTGTAAGATTTGATAAACACTAAGTTCATTTGCTATCAGTAGTTGATAGGCTAATTGATCAGTCAATTATCACTTAGTTAGTTATTTAAGAATTCTTTTGCTAATCGAATAGATTAATGACGTCATCTGTGACTGTGGAGCTAGATGATATGAGATTCTAAATCAACTGGAAGTATCAATCCTTGCAAAATTTATGTATATCCTTTTAATGACGGCCGTCCAGTTCTTCCAGGTTTTCCATGGTAGTCTAGCTTCAATTGACTCATGATTTCAACTATGAAAAATACTGAAATCTCCACAAAACCCCTTCTGAAAAAGTTTAAAAACAATTTGATTATTTGTAGTATGGAATCATGTTACTGTGGTCAAGGTTTTGATTTTATACAAGGAAATATTGACCTCAAAAGCTACATCATTGCCTTATGTTCACCAATCAACATATCCACTTTCTTATTTGGATAAATTGAAAGAGATGGTTTATTAAACAGTATGTGTTTAGGGTCAACCACCAAAGATCCAATACAGAGGATTTCTATTTATCACATCTAGTCGAAAAGACGAAACATTCGGTTATTTTTATACACTGATATACATAAATTTGTCTAAGATATTCGAGTTGTAACCAGAAGATTCAAATTTTGAGTTTCCCAGTGGAATCTTTTAATTGAAAGGGAATCTAGGTTCCCTGATTATTTTAACCAGATTCCGACTGATTGAAATTTATATATTTCAAGCTCTTTTCTTTAATATACTTACCACATACCTTATACTTTGATTTTATAAACTTACAGATCCAAATAAAGGATATAAAGAAATCAAACGATCCTAATTTATTATCTGATAGTTTGTATGCACCTGGAAAGAAAGTAAGACGTCGTCATCTTCGTCAAGATTTTATCACACAAGAACAATTTAGAAAAAGATCAGAATGATAACTACAGATTAATAAAATTAATATTTTCAATGACTATCTAAGTCCATAAAACTGAAATAGTGACCATTACTTATGACGTTGAATGAATAAACATAAACCAACAATATATTATAACTATCGTTATTATCGAAGTTCGTCTTTGTAACAATAATAGTATTATGTTCTTGTAAAATCCTACATCATATTTTTTATTTCATTTGTTCACTTTGATTGTCATTTTAGTGAACATCTTTTTAATTTCAGTAATCATCATTACCAAACATTCTTAAAAGCATTTCTCCCATTTCTTTATATATGTTCAATCAATACAATTATAAATCATCAAAAACGAATGTGTTTTTCTTTTCATTTTTCTTTCGCGAATTTAGATAGTAACGTAATTGTAACAATTTCTATTAAAAAGTTGTCAATATATTACATTATTACAGAGATCTGTACTGACCAGTTCCAGTAAAAGCCTTGCTTATTTTTAGGAAAAGCTCTGTCTTGATATAGAACTTCAAAAGTGTTCAAATCTGATACATTTCAAAGTAAAACTAGAGATTCTCATGCTTCTAGTACTGAATTCAGTAGTCTTTATTTTACAAGCATGACTAATTGAGTGACATAATCAATTTACAGTAAAAAAGAAGCACGTACTTCCGTGTTATTGTTGAGTAGTGTACAGTTGTAAAGTACAAATTATCCTATCACTTTTAAAAAAAGATTAAGATTCTCAATATGAATATAATGGTGAATTATGTACTATTAGCTTACGAATATTTAGAAAACCTATTTATCAAAGGTATACATCTCTACTTAGTTATTTTATCATATATCATGTACCGAGAGATATCCTTCAAGTACTATATCTCATTTGTGGATCTATGATTGCAATTGGCAATTTTTCACCCAGTCTTCGAGTCTTCAGGTTTTCTACTTTCAACATGAGTAGACTTCCGTGCTTGTTTAAACTTAGAGTTGATACATCCTAGAGACGTAATGAATTATTTAAGCTCTGTCGATCATATGGTAGTGAGATACAAAGGAATTTACAACTGCCGACCTTATGGATATGCAGATGTTTGATATGAGGAAATTTCCAGGCTTTATCAGTCTTAGAAACCGTCATTTCTTATTGTTTTTAATGGTCACGATTAAACTGAAACTGTCTTGAAAGTAGAAAATAGTTACGATGAAGCCTGTTACCTAGAGGTACTTCTGGACCATAAATATGCAGATGAAATTACTTTCATGGTGAAAATGATTACATATGGATACTTTTGTAGGTTGGAATCGCTGTGATAGACTTAGTAAGTCTCCATGAAATAAAAGCCTCAGTAGTTTATATTGCATTAGCTCACCTGTAGTGATGATAAACGCTTTTTACTGATCACGAGTAGCTGGGCAGCCACCACACAAGTGAGCAAAATTTGGCTTTTCAACGTAATGATACTAAATCATTAATCGTGTTTAGTCATCCTTGTTGGTTTATTTGATGATGACACTTTGTATCTGAACAGCTTGGTAAATGGTCTGATACAATACTAACACATAACTCATTCCCAAAAAGGCGAGACTATGATCTATGGACGAACCAATCAGATATTAGATAACATGTTTTAGATTTTGGCGCGAAATTCATTCATCCACTTGGTTAAATAATGTTTTGTCACTTTAGCTGATGTAAGTTCGTTATGAAAACCCTAAATCTAATTTCTAATCCTAACCGTCAACTGTAAATCATGATCACAATTTATAAGCCTCATTTCACCATAGTAAGTAGGTGGGCAAATCTCAAGATAGCTCAAGGACGTACATGAATTATAGTCCCACTATATTCAATACAAGACTACAAACTGCACTGATTCCTAACCAGGTACCATCCGATTACTGAGCCGATTAAAATAAGCTGGATATGTTTTATGTTATTCAACCAATCCTTCGCACACTTTAAACTGCCTTATCCAAATTCAGTGCAGTCTATACAGCTGTTGTCACCGGAATAAGAATTTTGATCTTGATGAAAAATCTGTTGTTTCGTTAACTCAAGTCCAGTTGGTCAATCATTCATAATTTTGCTGTCATTGAACTTGGCTGTACCTTGTGCCAGGTAATCAAACTAATATCGTTAAGAGCACTACTACTACATTTCACTAGTCTATCGTTATTTTGCGACAATAAAATTCCATGACAACTCTGGTCATTCATAATGCCTCAACAGCGAAACTGTGTTTTTAGGTATCCTGACAACCAGAACTCGACAAGTTATATTATCCAATTGATATCCATTCTACTGATGTCTGGCTCCAATTCCCGGCTGAATGTGTTCATTGATCTTTCTTTTTTCCCCTTGCATCCAAAATTCCCGTTTTAGACTTACCCTGTGATGCCGCATAGTGATTTTGTTCATGAATGTCCCATTCACCCTGTGTCTTTTTCTTCATCAGGAACCTAATTTTGCTCTCACACATTGGGTTGTCAATGATGGCATCTGGCCAACAGACATTGAGTATTTTCTGTAGACAATTGTTCATAAATATTTGTACATTTTCAATAATGGTTGTGGTAGTTATCCAAGTTTCACCTCCGGACTGTCTTGACGTTGATATTGACGGCTCTAACCTTGATGTTGGCTGAAATTTGTTTTGAGTCCCATATGTAGTTCAGCTGTAAGTACACTTCTCTTGCTTTGCCAATCCTTGTCTTTCCTTCTACGCTGGATCTTTTTTCTACCGATAATGCTGAATAGGTACGTATGGAATAGAAGGGCCAGGTCATCTGCGAAAGCTAAATCGTCTACTCTCATCCTAGCTGACCGTTTTATTTCATGCTTTCCCTGCGACATGAAGGTCTTCGTGCTCCAACCGACCATCAGAAGAAAGATAAACAGCAAGAGTAAGCAACCACATTGGTTTTCACTTTTAATGCATATATCAGCTTCACTTCATGCATGCCTTTGCAGTATAGACAGTCGTAAAAATTCCACATAAAGGAGACAATCGTTTTAGCTACTGACTCCATTGTGTCGAGGAAGGTTCTACAGGGTTCTCCAATCTGTGCTGTTGAAAGCTTTCTCATTGTGAGTGTGGTTGATTTATACTAGTGATGTTGCGATTTCATCAGAATACGATCGATCTATAGAAAAGTCGGTCTGCTGACCACGAATTTAAGCATCTACTCGATTTATTATTCGGTTTAACAACACTGTTGAATAATTTTCCTTATACCAATAGTAGTGTAATGTCTCTGTTGAGATCTCTTTGCTTTTATATCGTGGTGATCTACTTTTATGACGAGAAAGCGATTGGTATAATGGAAATGATTATTAAAAGCAATTGTACCACTGGATGTTTTACTGTGCTTGTTTGCTTAAGTGTACCAAAGACGCATATTTTGCCTGTGACCTTGCACAAACTCGAGCAGGCTCGGCATTTCCGCTTGTAAAATTTGGCACGTCTCCGTATTATTTCGATATCACGAGATCGCTAACAAATATATCTTATTGCAACTTTCTGGTTTTTGGCTTACGGAGGGAACCAAAACGATATCTGGCATGCAATCTTCCTGTAGTGTGATCATTGTCAATAGCGACTCTATGGCAAATACAATATCTTAGTGTGGTGCTGTTCTTTTTGTTCTCTTTGCGCTTACTTCTCCTGCGAAATCTTTTCGAAAAGAATGCCGACCATCTTTGCAGTTACTGCGATGTCCGACTTCAGTGCCTCAGATGGTATGTGTAAGATCCAAACTAAGGTTTGGCTGAAGAATAACTGTCTAGGTAGTTTAATCACTACTCATAGCCCAGTTGAAATAAAAACAAGCGGATTTGGAAACTAACGGTTCTAAACAAATATTACCGCTCACTTAGTCAACCAATAATTGTTCCCTCAAGAAACGACCGAGCGCTCCAAAAAACAAGTGTTATTCCAACCTTTATGGATAGATTAGATAAAATTCAATAGTTTGTTGCTATATAACACAAGGTGTTTCCGCTTTCGGAAAAGTGCTTCAGTTCATAATCAAATTGCAAAATCCCAGTCAACTCAAGCAACACAATCTAAGGAGGACCAATCAATATGGCTGTCGCCAAGATTAAGTACAAACTAAAACAACATAAACACAACTCAGGAAGAAGCATAGAAACTCAATGAAGACAAAATAAAAATGAGAAAACTATAATAAAATAAAATATTACAATCTCACACCCCATTAAAAGGACCGACAAATATACAGCAAAAGAAACCAACGTGTGTATGTAGGGATTTTCACACATAAAACCTTCGAAATGGATCTTACAGTATGCTGTTCGGTCCTGCTGCTTTTCAACGCCCATTTAGTTGTCATCTAGTCCGACTTAACTTGAACTGTGCTATTTCAGAAAATTTTAGTTCACAAAGTAATTCGAATACTTTTAGTCATTATAGCGGCTTCGACGTTTCTCAAGTTCACTGGAGCATGTCAACTCAAGAGCTCTTCAAAGTGTTCTACCCATCTGTTCAACTATTCTTCAGTCCGAGTGATTAGCTTGCCTTATTATTCTTGAATGGTCACTCTGGTTTGCAATATTTCCCTGACTGTTTCCTCGTTGTAGCGAATAGCTAATCCATTTTTCCCGACTCTGAAGCTTTTTTCATTGTCTATGTTTGATTTTAAAAGCATTTCTTCTTCTTATGTTTAATGTTCTACTTGACTATCTTGTTTGCCAGTATATTCGGTCTGGCCCCTCGCTACCTGTACACATGTATGGGGGTTGTTGGCTGCTAAACTCTTCTCCTCCGCATGTTGACTGTTGCACAAGTTTTCAGTAGGTGGACTGAACCCAAGATATTCGAAAATCCTCCGATTTCCGCATAAAGGGCCATCACTCTTCTGAATCGAGGTCCATCAACTCTAATGACAACATTCAAGTAGTTCCAGTGGATTCTTGTCATGTGTTTCTAACAAGGTTGTGTTCTACAGGGTTTCCTTGCCAAGCTCATATCAAAACTTGTATAGATGTTGTTTCCTAATTTGTAG